GAAAAGAAAATGGAAACTACAACTCTATAGGGGTTATAGGGGGTACATAAAGCTGGTGGTTGTCAAAATTATGGTCCCTTTTTGGGTACCCTTAATAGTAGGTGCCGTATTATAATAGGGATTCCAAAAAGGGACCATAATTTTGACATCCACCCACATGAAAGTTGCTAAGCTCCCAGAAAGCCCAAAATCCTTGAACATGCCTTCGTTGATACTAGGATCCCTAATATGGTTTAGGGTATGTTCCCAATTAAGGGACATTGGGCTGTCTGGGCAGAATAAAAATGCTGTTGCTGGATGGTTGCTCTTGAGCTTGTTTGCGACCTCCCCAGCCGAGATGGAGGGTGCCAGTACTGATGGAGACAGGAAAAAACCGGATATGAGTTGCAGGAGGGTCTGGCTAAGACTTGTGTCAAATACCTTCCCAAGGTTTCCCCCCAACTCATGACTGCCTATGCCGTTGGTTTATTCTGAATTCGGCATGTTTCTACAAGCCATGGTAGTCCCGGCCCTCATGCCCACTATTCGCTCTCCCAACAGCACCTCTGTCTTCAACAGCGCCTCTGTCCTACTATCCTGAACCCTTGAGCTTTCTGACCCTAAACCCTAAACCCTAAACCCTCTGAACTTCAAACCCCCACAACCTACCAAGGTCCCCGGCGCGCCCCATGTTTGGGAGATGTTTCTGTCTCCTGCTGCATGTACTTGCGCAGGATGAGCCTGTGAGACTAGGCCATCAGGGCTTGGGGTTTAAGGTTTAGGGTGTAGGGTTTGGGTTTTAGCGTTTAGGGTTGATTGGGGCAAATATGGAGAATGGGAAATAAAATGGAAACTATTATAACAGAATGTAAAAGAACATGGAAACTACTATTTAGGGCTTATGGTTTGGGGCTTGGGGTTCAAGGTCAGTCAGCAAGCCGAATGATATACTGTGATGTACTATAGTTCTCTATATTTTGCTATAATGTCCATACAGTAAGAGTATATCATAGTGTACTATAACGTCCATGATCGTATACTATAATGTACCAGAATGTCCATGGTCTACTATGCATCGCGAGAAGCATGATTTTTTTCCCGTTCGGCGCTTCGGCGTTGCACAGGTTCATGATAAGCTGTGGCGTGGAGTTTTGAGTATAATAATAGTAGTAATAACCGTAATGACAATACAAGTACTAATTTTTAGTAATTGTAGTAATATTCGGTAAAGAATCGGTAATATCAGTAGTCTGATTGCCCCGCATTTTTTGGTACGTAACCGATGTACTGCCTTCCTGCCTGATCCTGCAGTGCCCTAGCACCTGGCGCAGGTCCACCAGTTGACTTCACGGTGGACTACCCGTTAGATCCTTGGGAAGGCAGCAGCAGGGTCAGGGTTCGTGTTAGGACCGTTGAGACAAGACCTTCAATCTTCGACAACCCCCGAAAAGAGTCATCAGCTGTCCGCATATGGCGGCGGCAGCAGCAGCAGCAGCAGCAGCAGCAGCAGCAGGAGCAGCATGAGCAGCAGCAGGAGCAGGAGTAGGAGCAGCAGCAGGAGGAGACGTGGTGCCGATGATGCTCGTCGTGTAAAGGTGCAGAAACAATGTAGTTTGAAAGTCGTTCCAACCCCATGGGTCGTCTGCCCTTCTAGGCGGTACGAGGTTTGGCACTCCCGTGTCATCAATCTTCGTTTGCCTCGATGGAGACTGCCAGACTCTTCCAAGTCAGCTTGCAACCAATGTGCGGTGGCAGCGTGAACAATAGTTACTTTTTGGGGTCTGTCACAGAAAAGTGTTTTGACAGTGACGGCATGTACGATGACTACAGTATCATCAAGGCTCTTATTCCGGTGCAGATGAGCTGTTATGCGGGTCTACCTCTCCTAGTATGACCATTGCTGCCCAATGATGTTATATCATTATGCATACCTAGTGAAGGGAGCGATCCGCCATACACCCACCCTACCCTTGTTCCTACATGCTGACCTTTATTCCCCACACCCCAAACCCCTGAACCCCAAACCGTTGCCAGTTCATGTCGCATTGCAGTTTGCATTTGATTCTCCACTATTGCGATTATATACAGTGATGTAAACATCTACATTACCCCATGTAACCCCTATCAAGCCCTGAACCCCACATCCCAAAACCGCAACCCCGGATTTCAACCTCAGCTGCGTCCAGAGCGGATCCTGAACGTGGTGCAAGGGACTTTCCTTCTTGATGCCGAGCTTCGCTGGCTGCAGTCAAAGAGTTTAAGTTCGATGGGTACACAGGGACTAGAAGGTGAAACTGGGCATGCTAGGGGATAGTAAGGGTTCTAATTCTAGGGGCCCTTATCAACAGTGTGGGACTACTTTAAGAAAATGCCAAATGACATGACCTTGAGGGTAGCACAGACTCCTGTGCAGCTTTTCGCGTCATGTCCTAGGGTTTAGGGTCTAGGGTCCGTTGTTGTTCATGTTGCCGGCCCCGATGGGCACTAGAAGCTAAAGAGAACTGCATGCAAACGCCCCTGAACCCTAACCCCCACAACATTTTCCTGCTACAAGGGCCCGGCCAAAAGGCCCACATGTTTTCACAGCGTGCCCTGAATTACCGCAGCAGTGTTCCTGTGTAATCCCTACAATGTCACATCCGGTATTTGTTTCTTGCACCACATGCATGAGCGCAAAAAATAGAAACACCGTCTCTGGAAACTTTTCCCCAAACAACCCAAGCCTGAAACTGCACCTCATCTTGAGCATCAAGCCCCAGCCCCCCAAACCCTAAACCCTGAACCCTTATCCCTAAACACTTTTTTCTGGGTAGGCCCCTGGGATATTTGATATTTTCCCTAATGGCTTTAATAAGGGACCCTATATACTAATATTTTTCAAAGGGTTTTAGCGGCCAAGCCAGGTTTAGGCTGTACGACTTTTTTCTCAGGTTGGGATTGGAGACCAACTTTGAGGACATCGTCGCTCGGCCACGATCACGTACTAATGGGTCTTTTGTGCGGTTCAGGGCTTCGATAGGGGAAAGTGGCAAGTTATAGCCAACTTAGACCCCTCACTCCCGACCCTTAAGCCTGGGCTCTTGTAGAACAAAATTGTACATGTTTATGGATACCTGGGCCCAATATCAATAAAGAAAGATCGTTTTTCTAATGGTTTTTCAACAAGAACCCAGCAAGATTTTAAAACATCGCGCAGGTTCTTTGGGTAATGCCCCGGCTTTGCATTGAGGGACCTCTGAAGTCGTAGCTTTTATTAATTTTTTGGGGTCTTTAATACAGTCCGGCCACGTGAGGAAATATGATTAGAACCAGGTTTTGTTAGAATCTTTTCGCTTTTCATAAAACTTTTTTTGGTTTTCAAAAGGAGGTTCGTTCAAATATTTGTTCCATCCTCGATCTGGTTAGGGAACTGTTTGCAAGCACTCTTTACACTTCTTTTGCCGGGGGTGGGGGTCTCCAGTTCCCTGGTATACCAATAGCTGAGAATCAAGTGGAAACGAAATGGGTCGCGAGCGCCATACACAACGCACAAAGTTACACAATATCACTTACAAGTTGCAGTGGCCAGTCTTAATCAAAGTTGTGTGTGTGGCTTGGGACGTAGCTTTTGTCCCACTCAGACCAGAGTTCGGACTTGCCATGTGCCCGCTCAGGACAGGGTGGTCAAGGGCACCATCGGCAGCATCTGCCAATATTCACCAGTTCTGAATGCACCAGTTGTCGTCCAGCGGTTCCTGGATGCCCGGCTGCCATTCCATCCTTATTGTTGTTACAATCTTTGTTCAGGTGGTTCCTGTTGCAATCCTTATGCCTTGGTGGGGCTCCAGTCTGGCGCGTCCCTTCCTTCTTCACACTGGTGTTTGAACATCTTGGCGCTCTTCCTATGATATAATCCTATAAAATGTCGGTTCCATTTTCTTTTCCATTATCCCCTATATAACCCCTACAGAATGCCTATATTGCATTGGGTGTGCAGCGACCATGGCTAGAATCAAAAAGTTGGCAGGCTTCATGCAGACAAATGCCGGAAAACCTTGTGGGATGTTTTGGTCGGCAGGTGTACCCTTGGTAACCTTTTAAGACTGAAGTATGAGATTATGTAGAAGCATGTCCGCATGATCTTCCTCACTCTCGCCAGCCCGGCTGTCTCTTTGTTCTTACAAGTTGACGGCAAAACCGAGAATTCAGTCAAGGACATGCAATCTCTCGCCAACCGACGGAAGACGTTCCGCTTCGAATGGAACCTGCTGCCCCTACAGAGCCATCCACTCCCTGGAAATTGTGCCTTGGGAGTCAAGAGGCTGTCTTAGAGTAGGGGCAACTTGGAATCTCCGCAAGCGACGCGCATTTTGGCGACTTTGTGTGAGCCCCTAAACCCTAAAACATATTAGTAGTTTCCATTTTCTTTTCCATTATCCCTGTATATTCCCTATATAACCCCAATATACTATAGTAGTTTCCATTTTCTTTTCCATTATCCCCATATTACCCCATATGATTCCAATATGAGCTTTATTCTAGTTAGGACTGGGATCTGATGGGACTTCGAAGTGAGCTTTTGATCACGTCTTGATGGGGCCTACTTCCGTTTGCCATGGTACTGACCTCAGGGCAGTAAAGCTATGTCGCCCTGAATGGGCTTTCTCTGGGACCCTGAACTTCGAAATTTCTACATCCCTGAGACCCTAAACCCTAAACCCTCAAGTCCATTTTACAATTTCAACACCAAAATGATCTCCCCCCCCAAACCCTAAGTAATGGTAATAAAACCTAAACACACTGAATGCTAAACAAAGTTGCAAGCCCCGTCGCCCATGCACCCCTAAGGCATGAGCACTTTAGCAGCGATGAGCTTTGGCCCAGCGACCCCACCGTACGAGGAGGCGGGGTGTCAACATAGTATTAGTACTAGTAACAGTAATAGTCATAATAGTAGTAACAGAGATATTAATGATACCAATACTTATAATAGTAGTGCCAATACGAGTAGGAGGGAGGTCCCGACCTTTGGGTTGATCTGGTGTGGGACTCTCCAATGAGCTTGAGTTTGAGTAGCTTAGGGTTCAGGGTTTAGAGACCCCATATTCTGGTTCCAGCTCTCCAATCAGCTTGAGTTTGAGTAGCAGTTGATTCATGTAAACTTTACGGTTTATGTGTTTTAGTTGTAGGCTTTGATTAGGCTCCAATCAGCTTGAGTTTGAGTACATAAACTGGAAGGTCCCAAGGGGTTCTCTGAGATACTCAGTGGAATTTTTGATACCTCATATTCTGGCTCCGGAGGCACATGCCAGGGCTTTCAGTGCCAGTCCTTCAGAGGTCCCGCAGTGCTTGTACTATGCTATATATGAGCGTTGTAACCATTGATTCGTGTTTTAAATTCCGAAGTCAGACCTCTTCCGCAACCCTCTCTTGCTCCTGAACGCCAAAGCTCTCAAGACCTAACAAGATAGGCCCCATGAAGCTCTTGGGAATGAATCGTAAACACCGCCCAGCTCTCAAGCATGAAGACCTACGGACGAACCGCTGGACTTGAAGCTTAGAATCTCCAAGCATGAGCCATGCGGTTGAGGGTGTTGGGCTTACCCAAGGCCTGACGGAGGCTTAAGCTACGGAATACAAGGCCTTCAAGCATCTTACGCAATCAGCATCGAGATCTAAGCGCAAAACCCTAAGCACCGCACTGATTGCTCCAAAGCCTGTTGTCTTGCCAGGTTGGGAGGATCCCGCCAGCCATCAGGCAAGCCTGTTCTCAAAAAGGGTAGGGCTGAGGAGATAATGAGAAAATCACGAGGGGTCCCTTTTAGTGTTTACATGGAGATGATTTTAAGAAATCCTGTTTGCGGCAGGGAGGTCTTTCAAAACTGCGCCGTCCTTGCAGTAAGAGACTTGTTCCGCTGAGCTGAATAATTTTCAGAGGTAGCCACTTCTTTTGAAAGAGGATGCTGGGGTCGCACCAGGGGGTAGAATCACATTTTTCCAAAATGCTCGTGGTCACCTTTGAATTGAGCGCTGCATCTTACTGGACTTTTCAGACGAACAGAGCTCATGCTTGGTGGAAACCCTGCAATGAAGCCGCAGCTCACCCGTCTACAGGTCTGAAACACGGCTTTCTGTCCTCTTGCAATCTGGGCAAACATCCCTAAACCCTAAACCCCAACATGTGAGTGTTGAGCTCATTGTGTCGGGGGCTCCTACAGCTAGCAAGGCCACCCAGAGGGAGTTAGGGTTTCGGAGGTGGGCAAGAAAGACCCCGTGCTGTTGCAGCAGACGTAAAAGTCCGAGGGGTTGTAAAAGAACCCTAACATGTCTCCATACTCCCACAGAGACTTGCTGAACTGCTTATGTGAACTCTCAGCCTCAAGTCGGGGTTCAGGGTTTAGGGTTTCGCATGTCATTCTTTGTGCAGTCCCCATGATAATCCCAACACTAGCCCGAAATGACCTCCCCAATCATACGCTGCTCCACCTCACTCATAACAATTCTTCGTGACATGGTACCATTATACAGTTAAGGGTATGTTTGTGTATAAAACTCCATAGAACCCAGTTTCCATTTCACGTTACACTTAATCTTCTCATATTTTTTTGACCCCAAACCCTGAACCCTAAACCCCAAAACCCCAACCGCCAAACCCCCAAACCCCACACCCTAAACCCCCAACCCTAAACCCCAACCCTCAAAACCCGAAACCCCAAACCCTAAACCAACTTCCAGGCGAGTGTTTGCTATGGAGCTGGGAAGCTACTCTGCAACCCGCCTCTTGGCCCCAAGTTTTTGTTCTCACTCTGGAAGGGCGTGTTGTTACAGAGTTTAGGGCTGCGGGTTAGGGATTAGGGTTTACGGTTTAGGCTTAGGGAGTTTTTTTGTAATATGGAGTTGCGGAGTTGTAAGCTTCACTGAGGTTGACATAGGATGTACATGCAACCCAATTAACTAACCCAAGATTTCCAGCGGGAAAAAAACAAGCTGTTCAGGTTCTTTTCAAGGTTTTGTGATTATTTGGACTCTGGACATGGACCTTCTACGGCAACTTGTGCCAGATAGAAACTGCCAGTTGGATGATTCTGTGCTGTTTCTCTAGAGGGTGGGCATTGATGTCTCATCTGAAGAACCCGGCAGTGCGCAACAAAGTGTAAGGTAAATGTGAAGGCCCATAATCTGGTCCTCAGACTCTTGACCATGGCCTCTGTCTCGCTCTCTCTGTCTCTCTTTCTTTGTCTATCCCTAGTTCATTCCTGTCTGCCTGTGTGTGTGTGTGTGTGTGTGTGCGCCGGTGCGTTGCCGATCCTACCTCAGTGGTGAACATCCGTACTGTTCTGCTCTCTGCGGTTTGTGGAGTCTTGCTTTCCAAGCTTGAGGGTAGTTTCCAAAACACACCTCCCGTTTTGTGTTCATACCTACGCGGGTCTATACTAAACCCACTTCAAGCACTCAGAATTTTGAGAAAGCTGCGATGGGTTGAGGAGCGTTGGATTCCTCCTACTGGGGCCTGAACCTGGGCAACGTGTCCTGCCTCCCAGCCAGGGTGTCGCGCACCTTGGTGCAGCACTTGAGGACTTGGTTGTTGTTAATCCCCTCCCCCTCATCCTCTAATATTAACCCATCTATACCAGAATCCGAGTATTTCATATTAGCAGGGGTGGGGGGGTTGTCATGGAGCGGAACATGGCAGCCACCATCTTATGGGGAGATACCATCAGGATCCATCTTCCATGACAACCAGTAACAGGACGGGGCTTGGAACGTTGGGGTTCGGAAGCTATAGTCCCCTTTCTGTAATATGTGATTTATAATAAGATCCCCACATACCCCATGTTTTATGTACTTAAGGGGGGCTATATGCTTGTAGAGGTGTAGGGGGTCCATGGTTGGATGGCATCCGTAGTGCGTATGACATGGCGGGTCCCCAGGATCATCTCTGTCATTGCCATTTGAGCTATAGTCTGAACTCCCTAAAAGGGGTTATATAGGAGAGTATGTAGGGGACTACTCTAATGGTTATTAAGGGGATACTAGGAGTTTAGACTATGGCTCATGTAGTAGTTACTGCAGATCCCAAACGCCAGCACGTTTGGGACCGCCTCCGAGGTTTGCCAGACCTCAGCGCACTGGCCCTAACTGGCATACCAAACTGGAAGTATAGTTCGCTCGCCCGGAGGGTCGTGCTGTTGCGGATGGAGGAAATCTTGCACCCCCTTCATCTATGACCTGTGTCCTTGAAATCACATCATGTCGGGAATGTTACCTGGTGCTGCAAGATTTCCTCCGTCCACCGAAATGGTCGCTTCAGAGGGTGTTCGAGGATGAAAGTTTGCTTTGTCTCGTTGCCAAGGGCCTATCTTCACCGATGGTCCCACAACCGGTACGACTACCACGCCACTGCCCCTGGGCTTCTGAGACAGGCTCCTAGGAATGCTGTAATCTGAGTTTCGGCCCATAACAGTGCAGGAAGCAAGAGATTATGTTGTAGGCTTTGCAATTCCCTGGAACCACCGGCAGCTCTCAGCCCATGGCTCTTGAATCTGATTAGGGGCTTAAGGAGGTATTCAATCAAACCATGTATTTCCCGTAGTATATGGGTGGTTGTCAAAATTATGGTCCCCTTTTGGGGCCCTATTATACTACGGCACCTAATATTTAGGGTACCCAAAAAGGGACCATAATTTTGAAAACCACCCATATACGTAGGTACAAGTAACTGCTTACATGGTTCGCGGAGAAGCTGAGGCCGACGCATGTCTGTGATGGCCGGATGTATGCGACTGGCAATGGCGCCACCTGGCCGACGAGGGCTTCGGTGTACACTCTTCTCGGTTGCCGTTAAATTAAAGGAACGTACGTGAAGTTACTATATACATATACATGTATATACTAAGTAGTAGGGTTTTCTTATCATAGTCACTTAATTAAAGTTCCCCAGTCTTTCCTACTCATGCTTCTTACAGTGTATGGAAAGCTTTCTTGCAGTTTCACCAGGGCTACTCGGGGGATCATTGTCAGCAAGGTGTGCCTATGGTTGTTGAGGCTTCGTTTCAAATCCAGTAAAATCAGGTAAAAAACTAACTGGAATCTATGTAAAACTGATTGAAACCGGTGAAATCTGGTTAAAATCATACAATAATCACAACCGTATTAACATCAAACTCGAGTCAAGTAGATCCAATCAGATCTAATGAGCAATCCAGTCAAAATAGAATTAGAAATATTTGAAGCCCATTAAAATCTGATTAAAATCGGTTAACATCTAATAAAGCCATTAAAGCTAATTAAAGTTTTAGTCAAATCCACTTAAAAGCCTATCGAGCCCAACTACATCTAACCGAATCCTATTACATTTCTCTCGCTCTCTCTCTCTCTGTCTCTCTTGCTCTCTCGCGTTGGCTTGCTACCCCGCTTGCCCGCCCAATTCCTTTCGACACCTGGTGAAGGTGTGGTTTGTAAGCCTCCCGAATCCTACGCCCTAGAACCCTAAATCCTAAGCCCCAAAACCCTAAATCCCTAAATCCCTACATCCCGAGACCGCTTAAACCCCTAAACCCAAAACCCTCAAGCAGTACCTTACACCAAGCCCAGACGGCCCGAGCAACCCAGGAAGAGAGCGGCTTCGACCCGACCATGGCAGCTCGACGCAGTTGAGGGGAAGCAAAGGGTTTTAGGGTTTAGGGTTTAGGGTTATATGGGGGTTTCCCAAGATTAGGGGTACCTTTGTGGGTGTCCCCACAAAAAGGATTTGAGTATTTTGGGGGTCTATATTGGGGTCCCCTAATTTTTACTTGCCGTATATAGGGATTATACAGGTTGTAGAGTTTAGGGTTTGGGGGTTAGGGTTTAATAGGGTTTAGGGTTCCCAAAATTTTGGGGTACCTTTAGAGGGGGTTATAGGGGATATATAGGGGTTATGTAGGGATATATGGGGTTCAGGGTTTAGGGCTTCCCAAAATTATGGGTACCTTTAAAGGGGGTTACAGGGGATATATCGGGGTTATATAGGGGATAACCCCTATAATATAGGGTTCAGGGTTTAGGGTTTCCCGAAATTTGGGGTACCATTAAGGGATCCCAGTAATGAGGATTATAGTATTTCAAGCTCTATATCGGGGTCCCCCTCTTTATGCAAAATACCAGTCGAGGGGAATCAGAGGGTTCTTTACTTGACCGGGGGTTAGTAGGGAATAAGGGAATATACTATATAGGGATTATATAGGGATCATATTCCCTTCTTCCCTTATTCCCTACTCCCCCCACAGTAATTTGAGTTTTAGGGCACATGAGTTGGGCTGCACGTACAGAATGTAGACGACGTTAGACTCGTGAAAGTCAATGCGACAAGTGGGTAGTGCCCAAAATTAGGGTCCTATTTTGGTACCCCTAGATATTAGGTGCCGTAGTATAGCTTAGGAGGAACCCCCACCCTGTAATTGTGGTGTAATAGGAATATAGTAGGACCCTAAAATAATCCTTATTATCACTTATAGTCACTATTACTGGGTGGGGGGTCCAGGTAAAATACAGTCTATAACCAAAAGGGGCCCCAATTGCTGAGAACAACCCAAGTGCAAGGGACAACTTTGGATGTCTTCATTGGACAGCGATGCTTCTTCCAGAAGACGTATGTCCTGGGCAGAAACAGGTTTACTGAATAAACTTCATTGCAAGAGGATGCAGGACAAATAAGCTGCTTCGTTGAAACGCTCGCCGTGCCGTAGACCTATCCAGGCGGAATCCAGCATGAATTTGCCGAAGACCGCTGCGGATCCAGATAATTTACCCTAAACGCTATAACCCTCACATAACCCCGATATATACCCTATAACGCCCTTTAAAGGTACCCATAACGTTGGGAAACCCTAAACCCTGAACACCATGTATCCCTATATGACCACCATTCATCATGCATAACCCCTTTTAAAGGTACCCCCCAACTTTGGGAAACCATAAACCCCATATATCCCTACATAACCACTATATATCCCCTAGAACCCTTTTACATTTTGGGTCATCACCTGCTTTGCAGGGAATCAGGATCCCCGTATGGCGAGCCTTTAAAATGGACCACACTGCTAAACCGCTAAACCCTGAAGCCGGGACCCTAAACCCTAAACCTTCAAACCCTGAACCGAAACCCCTAAACCCTTCAGCCCTAAACCGAAGCCCTGAAACCCTCAACCCTAAATCCTTAAACCCTAAACCCTCAACCCTCAACCCTTAACCCTAAAACCCTAAACGCTGCACCCTAACCCTAGAACCTGATGTAGCCCTAGGATTGACAGTAAACCCTCCATACGAACTATCTCAAATTAGGGGTACCTTTAAAGGGGGGTATAGAGGTCTTGTAGGGTTTAGGGTTTCTACCTCTAATTGTAAATAGCCCTTTATAAGAGAGACTTCGTAATTAATGTTGGGGCTGGGGGGTATTTAATATTAGTATGGAGGCAATATCTGATCTGAAAGACGCCCCCACGCCACAGCCCGTCCAGGTAAGCGACTGCTCCTTGGCGAAGGAGGCCAGGTTGTAGGCTTCAGGGTTTTAGGGTTTAGGGTTCCAAGGTTTAATTGGCTAGGTTTCGGCGTTTAGGGGTCAGGGTTTAGAGTTTAGAGGCTCTGGGATTTGGTAGCCCTGAGACCTTTTTCCAAAATGAGACAGTCCTCGTTGCATAAGGATCCCGTCCAGAATCCCTGTTATTTAGGAAGCCGCAAGATAGGTCCAGCGTCGTTTGGCAGTTGGGGCTGGCGGTTTCAGGTTGTTGAGGGTTTATAGTCCCCCTTAAGTAGATAGAATATGGGGTATATTGGGATCTGATTATAATATACCAAAAGCCATATTCTGTCTACTTAAGGGGGACTAAAGGTGTTGAGGGTTGATGCTTTAGGGAGATCAAGATCTGGTCTTATCGGACTGGGCTCGACAGAGCCTTAGCCCCGTGTAGATTTCACAATTTATGGGTCCTGTAGGGTGCTAAAGGGCGGTATAGGGTTTATGGTCGGGGATCTGCCATTTTTGACTCTGCCTTGGTACTGGTATTGGGATCATTGTATTGGTTTTGCTGCCGTGGTTCTGTTTCTGGTTCAGCCCTTAACACTCTAACCGCGACCCAAACCACTTAACCATAAACTCTGATGCACCGGGCGTGGGGGAGGACCCATGCTTGTGCGCTTCGATGGACGACTGCGAGTGGCAGCCTGGATCAGGCAGCGACGGCTTGGGATTTGTTAGTTTTCAATTCTCCCTCTTCTCGGGGTTGCACAGGGAGTGAACATGCGCTACTTGGTTGGCGTGTTCTATGATATGGTAGAGTTTCAGGAACCTTTTCTGGGGCTCAGAAACATGGGGGTTGCACTATTTTCTACATGCCAAAACAGGCAATCCTGCACTAATCCATACAGGAACCTTCAACTATTGCCAGGCACGCGCACAAGACGCTACCCACAACTGCATGAGAAGTCCTGCACGAAACCTCCCAGGCTTTGGACACGTAAACTGATACTAAAATCTGGTATGGGTTAACTCCATTGCGGGTAGGGCTATAATCCGAGCAGAAGTACATGGCAAGGCCCACGAACCTGCAAATATGCAATACTGGCTTGCTTGACTTGATTTAAGTTATCATAAGAAAGGGTCCGTACTAATCACTTTCTACACCCATTATAGACAAAAGCCTGGACCCTGAACCCCTTAACCTTAAATCCTACACCAAGACCACAAGAGTAGTACTTTTTGGGGATACTATGGTACCCAAGATAGAGTAAGATTATAACCTCCTCTTGGGGTATAGTATTTTATATAAGGAATATAATCTTACTATTACTAGGTCCAACCACCAAAAAAAACACTACTCACAACCCTGAGTTTCATCTCATGGAGCCTCCAAGAAGGTGACATCCCCAGCGGGTGCGCCTCTACCAAGAATCCAGGGGTCACTTGCGAGGTTCCTTGGCAGTCTAGTAAGTTAAAGTACTACTACTAGTACTAGAAACCGTAATAGTACTAGCAATAGTAATAGTAAAAGTAATAGTGAGAACAATAATAATAGTTATAGTAATAGTGATAGTAATAGTTATAGTAATAGTGCCCTGTTTGCAGGGGCCTCCTGAGGTTTTGCGAGGTTTGCTAGGTTATTGATGTGCTTTCTCAGGGAGTGTTCGGCGGGTTTTTCAAGCGAATATTGCTGTTACTGGTACTACCAGAACTCCTCCTTCTACTCCTGTTGATGTTGTTATGGTTGTATGTGTGGGTGTTAGGGCTTCGGGCATCCACGTTCTGTAATGTCTTCACGCTTAGGGCCTAGGAGTTTGCTGATTGAATTCGCCGTTTGGGTCTAAAGACGATAGGGAGATATGCTTATGTGGTCCGTCAGCACAGGCGCCGCTCCGCAGTAGGGCAAGCTCAGCCTGTTTAGATTTTCCGTGAAGCTGCTTGCATAACTGTTGCTACATGTACCATAGTCTAAACTCCCTTAAGGGGGTTTATATAAGGGATTATATTCAGATGGATACTAGGAGCTTAGACTATAGCGCACATGGGCTACTGTCAACAGCCAACTTGCAAGCGAGATACTATGCGTGCTGACAGAGGGTTCCTAGTAGCAATGCAATCAGCTCAGTTCTGAATGCATTCGCTGCGATGATCTAACGTCCTGTGCTTTTCATATGGCGCCTAGTGGTTGAAGCGGACGTCGGCCTCGGTAGCAGCCGCAACCTCCTGCAGTCTCGTCACTTTGTCCTCAGCCTGCCGCAACCTCTCACCCTTGTCAACAAACCTTAATGAACCTTTGATCCCCAAATCCAAGACTCCCACAGCCTTCACCCGCATAATGTATCCCCGTAGAACCCTTATACCTTCCAGCCCTGTTCTGGGCGGTTAGGTTTCTACGATTAACGCAGTTACAGTCTACGCCAGGGAATGGCCGACTAAAGGCCTTGAATTGGACACCAAGTTTAGGGCGCTTTGGGTTTAGGGGTTTGGTTGGGGGCCCCAAATTGAGTGCGGAGACCTCCAGAGCTTGGCGAGGAATGGTTTGCGTTCAGCTACCCAACACATGAGTTCCCATATACACTCCCACTTACAAGCTTCGGCCCATCCCATTTTGGTACCCCTAAATATTAAGTGCCGTAATATAATCTACAACCAAAAGGGGCCCAGAATCTTGGGAACTACCCATCTGAGAATCCGAGCTCACTCCCCATCTGAGGCTTGCCCTTTCCAGCCAAAGTGTGTGGAGCCGGACCAGAGCACTGTTTGCTCCCAGAAGACTTCAGCCGCTCGCCCGCATGCAGAGTTGTTAAGCGGACTAGGCTAGAGGCTAAACTCCTTAGGGGGCGTTACAGGGGGGATTACATAGAGGGCTACTATAGGGGTTCTTGAGGGGGATACTGGGTTTACATGGGGGATTATAGAGGGCTACTATAGGGGTTCTTAAGGGGGATACTGGGGAGTTTAGACTATAATCCCTATAATCCCCTACATAATCACAGTTTCCATTTCATTTTCCATTTTCTTTTTCATTTGATTCTCCATTATATAGCTCATATAACCCCATTATAGTCCCTAAACCCTAAACCCTAGACCCTAAATATTAAGGAGCTCATCGGACCACCTACGGAATCCCCACCCTGCTCAGGCCCGCATGAAGACTTTCACTACTTTGGATGCATCCTAGGACTCGGAGGTGTTTAGTTTGTTCGGGAATATAGGGGTAGAATATAGGGGTTATATAGTAGGGATAATGGAAGATGCAGTGGAAACTATTGTGATGTGATAGGGTATATATAGGGGGTTATATAGGGATCATAGAAAGTCAAATTGATACTACTGTTTAGGGTTTAGGGTTTAGCGTAGAGATGCTGGAGGCAAAGTGCAACTAGTCAGTTGTGGGTTAACTGTTGCTCATGCTATTCTGGTTTTTCTGGTTGTGGGCAAGCCCTTTGCCCAGAAGGCCCGGTCCCAGGCCCCCAGCAGCCTCCTTTGGAGGATGAACTTCCAGGATCGCACCTATGGCTTGCAGAGCCTGCAAGAATTCGTTGGGCCAAAATGCAGCCGAAGTCTCGTCAACTACCACGCCCTCAGACGCCCCAACGCCACAAAACTTGAAACCACAATTGGGCCTATAGTTTATAAACCGTTCTAAGCACGTATAGGAGATGGTCAAGCCCTGGTTATGTAGTCCGCTTGAAGAGACTGCTGGAATCCATTTTTTATTACATACCCCTGCAATTCCCCTCAGGACCCTCGCACCCCTTTTTACCCCAAAGAGCTTCCCGGAGGCTTGCGACTGCGCCTTCACGAAGGCGACAAAGTTCGGCTACGGCTGCCTCTTCCTGAACGGCGGCTGCGTTGGCGCCTTAGGTGTCAGGTGCAGTAGCGGTCTAAGACGGTCAAACACTTCTTCAGGGATGATACCCTCAACCCTAAACCCGTTAACATTGCGTGGGATTCATGCAAGGGACTGTAGTACTGAAGAACTATGAGGGAGATCAGGGCTTAGGGTGCAGGCTGGACTTTTCTATTCCTTACATTGCCAGACAAAAGGATTGAGAAGTTGAATGAGCTGAAGTCCGAAGTCTCGGCTACCTGTATTAGTCATACTCTGTCTGAGGGGGTTCTCAAAATTGATGGTGGTCAAGCCGGAAGATTCTTTGGGCTACCCTAGCGGGAGGTAAGGTCACCGCAGCAGAGTCGTGCTCTTTCACGAGCTGCCCCTGCAACTTTGCTAGCCTTTTCCAACATCCCTGTATAACCCCAATGTACTATGGTGGTTGCCATTTTCCTTTCCCTATGCAACCCCAATCTACTGTCGGCCTCAACACGCCGACCTAGGACCTCTGCGACATGTGCAGCCCGTAAGAAGATGTCAAGCAACACTTGATGATGGCTTGCTCCACCCTAAACCACGTCTCCACAGGAGCCATGCTTAAATTTGCGTGTTATGGGGTTGCAGGAGGGGTCAATTGTGTTCTTTCGGGTCACACCTCAAGAGAGGAATCGGAGACATCCACACTGAGTCTGCAATTGACATGTACCGACCCCTCGTGTGTCTGTCCATCAGAGGGAGTCATTGTAACTCACTTTTACTCCCTACTATAATGAGGAAACCCTACTATTCACTATATAACCACATTATGGTAGAAATTAAGCTCCTTGACAGCAACCCAGTATGGTTGGGCCATGAGGTACGTATGACTCCCAATGTTTCTTGTGGTAGCTGTTACTATAAGGAGGAATGACTTAAGCTGTAGTCTTAGACCCTAAACGCCCAAACCATTCCCGAAGTGAGGTGGCCCGCAGCACGCCAAACTCTGCTGCCACCAGCTGCGACGACTGCCCGACCCAAGTACGGTGTCTTGCTGGGTTGTTCTCAAAATTATGGGCCCTTTTGGTTTCAGATTTTCTTCCGGCAAATAATATAATTACAGGGGTACGAAAATGGGAAGTACCCAGTTGTTGACAATAAGTTTGGATTTGGTCCCTTCCTCCTGTGCAATGCAGTTTTAGGGTTTACCTAGGATTTAGGGTTTAGGGTTTAGGGCTTAGGGTTTTAGGGTAAAGGGGGATGCGCCAAGTTTAAGGGGGTGGGGCAGGGGCGCAGGATCAGCGTTGAGCCTTCGAGGCCCTGGGTGCGCGCATGAGTTGATAGCTCAGGGAAGGGATCTGCAGACCCAATCGGGTTTTGTTGGTCACTAGAGGAACTTTTCTGCCTGTGAAAAAAGCCTCTACACTATAGAGTTGATAGGCTGTAGGTCCTACCGCTCGGTGAGTATGGTAAAAGGGTTTTAGGGTTTAGTGTTTAGGGTTAGGGAGTATGGTAAAATTCGAGATGCAGAGGTCCTCCCAGGGGCATTTTCCAAAGTTTTTACATCCGTCAGCAAGTCATGTTCACTTGCAGCTCTTACAGATGGAGGAGATTCTTAGTCCAGGGCAGGTTCCTAGACCAACACACAAGAGTACTTCTCAAAATACCCCTTACATTAGGGTTTAGGGTTGAGGCTTCAGGGTTTAGCCTTTAGGGTTTAGGGCTGTGATAGTTTGTAAAAATTAGTATGCCCTTTTGTTGTGATCCCTAAGCATTCGGGGCCGCGCTAATCACACAGGGGACCACAACAGCGGTATTTTGACAGTGAACCAGAGGAATCCTAAAACACTAGGGAGCCGCATACTCTCTTCCGAATCCCAGATAATCACTGCATGTTTCTAGGGTCCCTTATGTTTGGGGCCCCCATTCTAAGAATCTCCCCAAAGAATTTGTCAGGAACCCAGCGCATGCGTCTAGGGCTGCAATCACCATCCGAAACCCCTGAATGCATTGGAAGCCCCGGCCCTTAACGCGTCCTGAGAGGTGTGGCACGCCGCGGATTGAGCACCCTGGGCTGTAGTTCAGCGAGCTATTGAAAGGACAAGTTGGTATGACACTAGTGTAACGAAGAGCCGTGATGGTATAGTCAGGATTGGTGGGGCTACTAGCTTTGCGTTTCGTAGCGTTGCACCCTATTTGCCGTGGGAACCCGTCAACAGGCGGAATGGGCTAGTGCCCCCTGTAATCTGGGGGTTTGCCTTCCTGCCATGAAGACAGAAGGTGAAGGTAATTCAGTGGACTTCCAACCTCAGAGCTTTTCCCGGCAATGTGTGCGAACCGCGTGGCTTACCGCCGGCTTCTACCCAGATCACGCAACAACTGCCCTTCGAGTACATCCCCGCCCCAAGACCGGAAAGAAGGGGTTTAGCACTAAGTGAGGCGAGTCCGCCCGGTGGAGGGCTCGCAGATGGGGGAGGCTGGCGTCTGGGTCATCGAGGCCTGGCAGAAAGGGCTAGAAATCGGAGGTCCTCACCTGCACACGTACATGGGAAGATCCTAGATGCAAGCACCTTCCTGTAGTAGTTTCCAATTTCTGTGCCATGGTCTTGTCCACTAGATGTAGGAAGGTCAAGATGTTGGAAGACAGAATTGCAAGGCAGCCACCGCACACCACATGGAAACACACGCGTCAACGTAGGTATCTTCACACAGGTATTCTCATATCTGGACCCCGTCTTCTCATGCTACCAAGCCATAGCCCGGTCTTGTGATATGATATTGAAGGATTAGAAAGAACCTGCAGAGAAATCTACACCGCGGTGTCCTGATAAGCAGGTATTTCACCAACTTGCAAGCAAGCAGGCCCCACAACTTGGCGCTGATAAGGAACATGAGTAGGAACATACATGAGTCAGTTGCCACAGCACTAGGAATAGCAGCACTAGCTGAGTTGGAGTAGGATGGCGATGGTGAAGGGGGATCAATCTGTATGTATATATACTTATCTATTTAGTGATAGGGTTTACGGTTCAAGCTAATGAAGGAGTATATTATACAGGGATCATGTAGGGATTGTATTCACTCATTTCCTACTTCATCGTCAGTAAGAGCAGCTTGTGTAATGTAACAAGATCTTGAGAATGATAGCCCCTTCATCATCACCAGTATCGTCATCATTGCCATGCCGGTAAGTTTTGGGTGGTTGCCCCAATCATGATCCCGCGCCCATCCAGATCGAGTTCGATCGCCCGGTGATGTTGGGCTTACAGGATGCCACTGGCAAAAGAGTGGGTGATTCCCAAAATTAGGGGTACCTACTATAATGGAGAATCAAATGGAAAAGAACATGGAAAATGAAATGGAAACTGGGTTTATGTAGGGGATTATGGGGATTAGGGTTTCCCAAAATTAGTGGTACCTTTCTGGGGTTCCCCATCATAAGGACTATAGTATTTTCGGGTCTATATTGGGGTCCCCTGTTTTTGGAAAGTACCCTGAACCCTAAACCCTAGACGCTAAACCCTAAATCCTAAACCCTAAACCCTAAACCTGATAAGGCACCCATGCTAAGGTTTGGGATGGTTTAGCGTCTATGGATATTACCCCAATAATGAAGCTTATGAGGCAACTAAATTAAGGTTTAGGGTGGTTTAGAGCCTAGGGTTTAGGTCTTAAGGTTAAGGGCTGAGCGTGTAGGGTTTATGAATATTACCCCAATAATGGAGAATCGAATGGAAAGCATATTGAACCTGATTTGGAAACTCAGTTTATGTGGTGTTTTGTAGGGATTTAGGTGACTTAAGCCGAGTTAGCGTTATGTAGGATCGATAATGGTTATGTTACGTTATGGTAGCTTATTTAAGGTTCTCAATGGCAATCCTGTTGCGTGGGAAGTCGTACCTCCTTTCAACTTACTGGTGCTAGGTAGGGACTGAAGGAATAGCATATGGGATGACTATAACTATAGAGGTCCATTCCTCCATGTCCTGCCAACCACAGGCAAGCCACACTAGCATTGAACCCCATGCAGCCCTGTTAAAGGTCAGAAGTTTTTTTAGGGCCCTAGGCTCCGGAGGGTATTCGAGACCATGATAGTGATTTTGTCCTTCGACTTTCGACAAGGTGTGCTGTTTGATGTTCAGATCTGCTGCTGATCTGTCTTGACGAGAGAAGCGCTGCTAAGGTTTGTGCGGGGTTACACAGGGTTATATAGGGTTATATTGGGGTGTATAGGTATAATGGAAAAGAACATGGAAACCACCAGTATAGTTATATTCGTGGTTTTGCACGTCTGCAGTGTCTGCATTGGGCAACCTCCTCGGGGGCGTTTGGCTATCATGGCTTGGGGCAGGCACAGGAGTAGTTCCCAAAATTAGGGTCCCATTTTGGCATTTGGCAGACACATCCTATAAAATCTATATAACCCCTTTAAGGGGACCTCGGGTTTCCTTTTCTTTTCCATTTGGTTCTCCATTATTCCTACTAACCCTACCCTAAGGGTAGGGATAGCTTGCAGGACCTGGAGGAGTCTGGCGTGCAGCTGCGGTGCGATGTCTGGGAGGTCACTGGCAGGGGTTAAGCCATCCGCGCCCCAAAGCCGTTTCTGGTTCTTTTTCAACTTCGCAACCCTGAAGCCTTAAGCCTAGGCTGCCAACAGCCCCAAGTCCCATAATAAGCTGGGTTGCTGTTAAGGAATTTAATTTAAGTTACTATATTGGCGAAACCCTACTATTTACTATAAACATATATATATATACATACCCATTATGGTAACTTAATTTGAAGTCCTTCGCGGCAAGGCAACCCAGTAAGCTTGAGCCCTTGTACCCACAAACCTTGGTAGGAAACTGGCGGAAAGACTTTCCAGCTCAGCGGCTGGGCCGAGACAGAGATTCAGAGGTCTGCAAGTACTACTGTTGATACTAAAAATCCTGCATGACCTTAGTATACTATAGTACCATTATTCCCAAGGTATAAGGTTCCTAGGGTCATGCAGGATTTTTAGTATCCACCGTATTAGTGGACTGACTGGGCCGTAACAGTCTCTTCAGGGCCATGATGCTTGTGTGAGTAGTATTTCATTTGGGGATATTATGGTACCCATTATAGAGTAAGATTGTATCCTCCTTTTGGGTATAGTATTCTATATAAGGANNCTGGGTTCAACCACCAAAAAAAACTACTCATGTTAGGTTGTCTGTTTGTCCAGGGCGAAGGGCTCAGGATGTTCTAAGTTTCTGATGCTTTTAGGAGTCCTGCGCTCAGGGTTGAGGGGTATCAGAGTTTCCGAAGAAGCGGAGCGTTACAGTGCAGTCGGGTTTGGGGTATTCTTTGGAGGTCTCTTGTCTCTGGGAGCCTCTGACTAGGTGAGCCTTTTTCTGGGCTTATCGGGATGCATGGACACGGTTCGGGGGCAGGAGCAATGCGTGTTGACCGCATGGATCACCACAACGCAAGGCTAGGCCCGCAAAACCTTCTTCAGTGCCTTCGCCGCACTCTGTCGCTCCAAATCTTTGGGCTCTGAAGAAAGAACGCCCCTCTTCTTGCAGGCAAATCCATGAAGTGCTCCTTCCCCTGCTGTAACAAGGTAAGACGATGCTATCGACGGTCGAGAACAGCTTCCTGATAGACCTGACAAATTTGGCCAACGATTACAGGAGACCTTTTCTGTAGTGATCTCAACAGCGGCAGCAAAGATTAGCATGCGAAGCTGTATGGGGAACATGTAGGGCACATAGGGGTTGTGTAGGATCTACTGGGCATGATTGAAGTTTCGCAAGGTAGTTTTTGCAGCAGGGGATATGTGTGTTCTGCTGGAACTTGGTGGGTCAAGGTGTTGACAGGGGGACAATCATATCGCTTGCAATCTAAACCTTTGCCGTGTTTTCTCCAAAGGTCCCCATGTTTGGCTATGCATCTTCGGCCGGAGAAGCCCGCATGCCCAAAATGGCCCAGAAGTGTTACACAACTAGAGATCTATGATGGGGATATAGTCCCCCTTAAGTAGATAGAATATGGGGTATTTGGGGATGTTATTATAATATGCCCAAAGCCATATTCTATCTACTTAAGGGGGACTATAGTTCCCAAAATTAGGGTGCTTTTTTTTTTTTGGTATACTAACAACCAGTAAGTAATGGCAAAATTGGAGGAGAACCTGCTTCCTGACAGTGGCCAAGAACATTGTCGCGTCCGTTGCGCGGCGTGCAAGAAGCCGTGTAGAAGCCTAAACCCTAAACCCTAAACCCTATAAACGTAGGAATGTTGCCTCCTGGTAGGCCTTACACAAACCCTAAACCCTAAACCTGGGACCTCTATAGGCCGCCTAAACTTAAACGACCAGAGTATATGATGCTCCCCAAAATCCAGCTCCAAACATACAAGACGACCATGCGTCGCCCAATGGCAGATGTATTGCCTCAGTGTTTTTGGTCTTCCATGTGCCGGCCTTGGCAGTCTTCCCGTGTCTGGTGTTTGATTTGTGTGCCTTGGGTTCTTGCAACAACCATAAATCCTAAGCTCCAAAACCCTAAAATTAAAAGCATATTGTTTCATGGATGCACAACAAGCCCTACTTCACGCAGTCACAGCAATTGAGAGCCCACTAAATGGATTTTTGTCATCGTCAGCATCATCAACAGCAAACAACAAAGTAATGGTCAGCTGTCTATATCTATGAACATAGAACTGGGTTCCAACTGATCAGAGTTGCTTGGCTTTATTCTTATGTGTTCACACCTTTTGAGCCTACGCATGATGACACTGCATGAGTCAGTTAAGTGACTTCCGTGCCCGCAGGGATTGGATGAATTCTTGCGAAACATGCTGACCCGACACTGCACTCCCTACTTTTGAGAGACCTTGGACTTCGGCGACATAGAATATCTCCTACTCAAGCCCATGATAACCATATTGAAGCCCTTTACAAGCACGTTCCCTAACCCATTAGTAACCCACGGCCCACCCACACCTTTGGCACACAAATTGCCTGGCTTCCTACTTTCTTGCCCGGGGTCCTAAAGCCTCACTCCCTAAACCAAAACCCTAAACCAAAACTCTAAACCGAAAAAAACAAAAAAAGAAAAAAAAGCCTAAACCATAAACCGCAAAACCCTAAACCCTAAATCCCAAACCAAAAGACCCTAAACCATAAACCCTAAACCGAATACCCTAAACCATAAACCCCCAAACCAAATACCCTAAACCCTAAACTCCAAACCAAAAACCCTAACCCATAAAGCCTAAACCCTAAACCCTAAACCCTAAACCAAAAACCCGAAACCCTAAACCCTAAACCAAAAACCAAAAACCCGAAACCCTAAACCCTAAACCCTAAACCAAAAACCCTAAACCCTAAAGCCTAAACCCTAAACCAAAAACCAAAAACCCGAAACCCTAAACCCTAAACCAAAAACCCTAAACCCTAAAGCCTCACGCTCATCTTCTTGGGTCGGCCTGTCATCTCAGGCTCAGTCGGGCCTGCCGCGCCTTGGTCAGCCTGGGAAGATAGTAAGGACGATCATATTACTAGTAGGGTTTAGGGTTTAGGTTTTGGGGGGTTTAGGGTTTAGGGTTTAGGGTTTAGCAGAAATATTAGCAATGTTAGTAATATTAGTAATATTAGTAATTATAGTAGTAGTAATACTAGTATTAATAATAGCAATAAGCATAGTAATAATCATAGCAATAATAGCAATAATGGTAGACAAATTTTTGCAGTTGCATCGTTGTGGAAAGGTATGCGTTCAGGGAATCTGGGATGTAGCCCTGGAAGCTTTTGTGCTTTGAAAGCTGCTATTTCTGGAAGGCTGCTTCTTTGTTCTTAAGCGGGAGGTCTTGTTTTGTATCAGATTGTGGGACACATGGTGCGTCCTATTTGTTGAAGGGGCCTTGCAAGTATAGGGATACTCCAAGTCCCAAACCTCATGTGAGCCCTTGAGCAAGTGTTGGCAAGCTATAACTACCTCAACAGAACTTCGGGCCCTATCCTATTCTTTGAGTCCTTGTGCCCCAACCCCTTCAGGATGAACCTAAACCCTAAACCCTAAATAGTAGTTTCCATTTTCTTTTCCATTCTCCCTATATAACCCTATATAACCCCAATATCATACTAGTTTCCATTTGATTTTCCATAAACCCACATATACCCTGAGCCACTCAAGGCATGGGGGCCTGGCCATGGGTGAGTACTTCATGTATCTGCCGGAGCTTTGGCCCGGAAAGGCTTTCGCAAGAAGTGTTGTTTTTTGGAGGGCTTATCCTTCTGCGATTATCAGTAGCTTCTAACGCCTGGGGATTACTTGGAGTGTGGGAGCCTCTGGGCATCGGCGGCAAGTTCGCAGCCCTGCAGGGATATTCGAGTCTGTGCGATTCTGTGCCTCAGAATTTGTATGGGTGTGTGCTTTTGAGGGCCGGGCTTGTGTCTTGAATGGTGGCTGTGGCCGAAAGAAGAGGCCAGGCAACTCAATCGTCAAGACGGAGCTTGGTTTAGTTCTACAAGTGACCAGCCGCAACTGAGAGTAGAACATGTTGTCGTCTAAGCATGGATCAGAAAGCCCTGCCTTCCACAGTTTTAAGCATGCAAATTTGTGAGTGCATGAGTCGTACAGAAATTTGGCAGTTGGTACCCTAAGCCCGAAATAGTAGTTTCCATTTCGTTTCCACTCTCCCTATATCCCTATATGGCCGTATATCATCCCCTAACCGCATGGTACAGCTATTCGTAGTGCGTTTTCAGGAGGGTGGGCCCAAACGAAAGCCCCCAAACAGGTGGCGACCTGAGAGTTTCTCAAAATGCCTTCCTACATCATCCCCAATATTCGATTATATAGTGATAATGTAAAAGAAAATGGAAACTACGATAGTATAATTGGGGCTATATTGGGATAATGATAAATGACATGGAATTGGGCTTATGTAGGGATAATGGAAAGGAAAATGGAAACCACCATATTGGCTTTAGGGTTGAGGCCTTCAACATCGTCAAGTAAGGTATAGTCTAAACTCCTTAAAGGGGGTTATGTAGGGAATTATAGACGGAAGTATGATCTAGAGGCTATTACTAAGGGGGATACTAAGAGTTTAGACTAAGGCTCAAATAGCCCCCAAACTTTTATCCTAAACCCTAAACCGACTTCAGGATACCAAGAAGCCCATGATCAGCAGCTTCGACCCGCCCAACAGCGTCCGGGGACTGGGAGTCGACCTCCAGGCAGATGGGGTTTAGGGTTTAAGGGTTTAGGGTTTAGGGTTTAAGAGTTTAGGGTTTAGGGGTTTAGGGTTTAGGGTTTAGGGGTTTAGGGTTTAGGGTATGAAGTTGAGTTCCTAAGGCCCCATGTGAGTAGCATTTTATTTGGGGATACTATGGTACCCAAAATAGAGTAAGATTCTATAAGGAAAATATTCTTACTAAGTTCAACCACAAAAAAAACGCCACTCAGATGGGGGGTATGAAGTTGAGTTCCTAAGGCCCCATGTGAGCTATAGTCCAAACTCCGTAAAAGGGGGTCATATTGGAGAGTATTATAGGGATAATTTCAACGGGGATACTACGAGTGTAGACTATAGCTCATGTATGGCGCCAATGCGGTTTGTATGTTTCTAATTCCATGAACCCTTTATAAGGAAGCTCCAACAGGGCGGGGTCCATGCAACGTTCATCGAGGTTTCCGAAAAACCAGGGGTCCTGATTTGGGTGGCCCATAAATCAGAATTCTCGTGTTTCCGGGGGTGTATTGAGGACATTGGAGCCTATGTTAGTGAGGCCTTGTGGGGTCCTTAGTTATGTGTCCCCTTCTCTGGCGCACTTGGAAGACTTCTCAGTGACGGTGATGCTAATGCGGATAGTGGTTCTGCCGAGCATAATAAGTGGGATGTAAGGTGGGTTTTGCCTTACGATTATTCATCAGGATGTGAATGGCACTAGGGCTGTAACTCTATTTGCCGGTTGTCAGAAGGGGGTGGAGGTATAGCTGCTCCTGCGCAATCCCCAAAAACACATAGTGTCCATTTTCGCTTCCATTTCTTCATCTCCTACTAACAACCAGCATGTATACACCCTAAACCCTAAACCCTGAACCCTGAACCCTTCAGTGTTTAGTTTGAATGCTGGCTGTGAAGCAGAGGTCGATAGCAAATCTAAGCCCTGCTTGGTTTCCCACCATTGTGGTTTCCATGAATTGGGCTTCCAATACAGAATCCAATATAGTACAATCCTCCCTCAACCCTAAACCCTGGGGGCGCCCTGATTCTTAGAAACCCTCACATGTTCAGTTCCTCTGCCTGCGATTCAGCATCCTTTGAATGGTTCCCTGTGGCAGTTTCTACCAATGGTGGGGTGGCTACATAGCTTCGAAAAGGGACCTGGACCCTCACCCCTGAAACCCCGATTTTTTCTTTGTAGAATCAAGGGTGTAGGGGGTGGGCTTAGGGAACGGAAAATAACATAGAAAACCAGACGGGAAATTTCGTGGAAACTAGGGCTAAGGAGCTTATTGGGATACACAGGGTTGAGGGTTAGCCCGTTGGTTTGTAGTAGCAAATGAGGGACTGGAAAAGAAAGTCGCGCTGCTGCATTCTTGGGGCTTACATGAGGGGTTGCTACGTGCGGGATCAAGTCCTCCATTCCGCAGTAGCTGTCAGCAGCATGAGGCGCAGGCTCTTTGCAGACGTAGGCTCCATGGGACTTCCGTAAGCAGAGCGCGGGGGTGGCCAGAAAATGCAGCTTGGCATTGCTGCTTGTTCAGACGGGTCAAAACATTGAACTCAAGGCACACCTCGGATTCTGAATGACGTGCCAAGGCCCAATACCTTTCGGTACTTTGCTGTAGCTTAGCCCTAGCAGCCGCAGGTGAAGATGACCTTCACCGAACCTGTTGTTCGCGGTCGCGCGCCTGGGCGGCTGTTTGAGTTTGGTCGAGGTTGGTTGCTGCTAGTCTCACTAATTCAGCGACAGCACCATTACCATTCTTGTTGCTTGTGCCAAAGACATGGCTACGTACTGCTGAGTCTGCTGCTGCCTCTGCTCCCAAGCCACCCCCGCAGCCCCAGCACATATTCACTGACTAGCTGCAACTGGCCAACCGACCGCTGCCACTGACCATGATAAGGGCCAGGACAACTACTGCTACCACTATAGTCGTCATATATGGTTGTAGCAGTGGGAGTATTCGCCGCAGGATCCTGGCCCCACGAGGACTCTCTTGCACCCTGAAGCTGTCAACCTTTAGAATTCAAACTTGACGCTGTCTTGACGTGAGTCTCTTCAGGTGGCGAATCGGGTGGAGGTGTACAGAAGTGGCGATGCCGCAAGCAACATCCCCATGGCGCCTCGTCATAATGGTAGGCCTCCAGAGGGGCACTCTACTGTATACACATCTACGGTCCAAACCGAGGCCCTAATATGGGGCCTGAAGCTGGGGGTGCCCATATACCTAGTACATACTCCTTACATGGGTTTAGAGAGGGTCCGAGAATTCCTCTACAAAGGCTAAGGGCCCACATTGTTGGGGTCCGCACACCCAATCTAAGGCTACATTAGCTACATCTCCTATGAACTCTAAACCCAAACGCCGTAAAACCCTGGACCCTGGCCAAAGCGGATACTAAGCATAATGCAGGCTTTGTGCAGTAGTCATGGAGGACCTTGAATGTCAACAGTAAAACGAAATGGTCCTGTCCCCTCGCTTGCTCCGTTGTGACTGGGTGAAGTCCTGCCACGCTGCCCTGCTAGCATGACTTGTTGAAACTACGAATAGGGACCACTACCGCTTAGACGCCGGGGAAGCATCTTGCCGTGGGCAGGTGGAGGATAAGATCGCAGTTCTCATCTTGCTTTCCAGTGTTCATGGAAACGGTAGCGGAAACTAATATCTTATGTAGCATTTTCAATCTTCTTTCCAGGCATTGGTGTGAAAATCTGAAGACGTCTGTCTGCCTTCCGAGGTGACTTTCGATTTTTCGGCCAGAGAGGCCTGAACTCTCCTGCTGCTTAGGGTCTAGGGCTTCGGATTTGAGTCAGTGCTGCCCCCTCCCATGTTTGGGCCCCCCCTCCCCAGCAATGGTGGGTTGGAGGACGGTTTGGGCGGGGAGCAGTGTTGAAGCAGGGCCCTGCTGCAGAGACCCGTGCGGGTGATTAGTTTTCGATGCTTGTGTCCAATCTGCAGGTGCAAGTAGAACTCGAACCCCCGAATTCTATTTGCAATTGGGAAGCATCTCTTTGGTTTATATATGTTTGTGTTTTTTTTTACCACCCAGTGGTTCTGTAGAATGTGCGGTCCATGCCATGATGTCTCCTTGTAGCAAACTATGAGATCTGCCCCTGCAGCGATCTTTCAAACAAGATGACTATTACTATTACTATTACTATTACTATGACTATTATTAAACCCTAAACCCTAAACCCTAATATTATTACTATTACTATTATCTAGAGAATCTTGGGTGCTACCTCGGGGCCACCCCGCGGGGCAGTGGGGCCGAGGGCGGGGTGCTGGAAATAGCAGGTCTGAAGCTTCTAATCATAGGGTTTAGGGCTTAGGGTTTAGGGATTATGGTTTAGGGGTTTAGGGTTTAGGGTTTAGGGATTATGGTTTAGGGGTTTAGGGTTTAGGGTGGGGTCGGCAGGGCAAATCTTGGCTACAGAACATCCGAACAAAGCACAGCCTTGACATCCTGAACCCAACACATGGAGGTTTCCCAAATTTAGGGGTACCTTGTTGGGGGTCCCCATGATAAGGAATACAGTATATTGGGGTCTATTTGGGGTCCCCCTATTTAGGCAAACTACCACATGGGGCCTGCAAACAAGATCTATTATGGGGGCCCTGAATGTTCATCACTATGATGATCCCGAATTCCTTGTATAATTTGGGTCTAGGGCACCGCAACGAGACCTCAGTTATTTAGGCACCGACACCACATGTCCTTTTGCATTTAATGCTCCATTGCTGGAATATTGCCCCAAAATAATTCGTGCACTATAAATTCTGCCCTCCCCCCCCATCCATATGGAATCCTCCCCAAACCCCAAGCCCTAGCCGCAGAGCTACCGAGAAGGAGGGACTTTTTCGCCTCTGGTCGGCTTTATCAAATCCCTGCAATCTCTACAACTCTCCACGTAATAAATCTCTACAATCTTTCTAGCATGCCCTAAGTTCGAAAAACCCTCGGGATAATCGATATAATCTCTGAAGTTCACCTTCAAAGCCGTCCCGTCATTTCTGTCAGATTTGTTTTAAATTTCAGTCCTTATGGGAGTTTCCCAAAATTTGGGGCACCTTTTTGGGGCTCCCCTTAATAAGGATTATAGTATTTTGGTATCTATATTGGGTTCCCCCTGTTTTGGGAAACTACCATATATCAATTCATCCATCAAGTTATTATCCCCAAGACACCACCGCGCCACAGGGTCGAGGGCCTGTCAGTGCGCAATGACATGTCCCTATACATCCTTATATACCCATGTATATCCCTATATGTCCCTAAGCCCTAAACTTTAAACATCCCCATGTATCCCCTTTTAGGCGTCCAGTACCAGGTTACTTTGAGCTCCACGCTGATGACTGTGGATCTCACTGGCTTGCTGGACCTGGGTTTTGGGGCTTGGGGTTTAGGGTTAAGGGTTTAGGGTCCTAAGGGGAGGAACTAGGTATACTGACTACCAAAGTAGCGGAGAGGTTTATGAAGACACGCAGGTTCAGGGTCTAGGATGTAGGGCTCAGGGTATAGGGCTTACTGTCTACGGTTTATTTAGGATGATGAGGGCAATCAGGTCCATTGCTTTGGGGGGGTGTTTGTGGCTTACTGCGGGATTGATGGACAGGGTGTTTGCCTTGGGGGCTTGGAAGGTCGATTGCAGTTGGGCTTCATGGATTCAGGTTGCAGCGCATGGCGGCAACTGGCGCACACTTTCCCAAGTGAGTCAAGGATCGTCTTTCTTTCTCACCTCGCCCTCTAACGAGCTCAAGGTAACTTTCCGAAAAGGGCAAAGAGATGAACAAACCCAGCACGTCCACGAATTCAGCAGACTTCTAGTCTTCTAGTGCTCACTGTTACTATTATTATCCCTATGAGTATTATTAGTATTATCACTGTGATTATTGTTATTATCACTATGTTCTGTCATCAGTCTCTGCTGAATCCATGGTATGGGGTTTCGGGTTTAGTAGAACTCGTAGGGTGAGTGAGGAGCCCAACAACTTCTACTCTATCTCCTTGCCACCTCAGTCTCTGAACGTGGCTTGGCGGCAGCTGCAGACAGGCGAAAGGGCCTGTATGGACTAGATGTGGGGTTTTCCCAAAATTAGGGACACCTTTTTCGGGGGTCCCCATAATCAGGATTATTAGTATATTGGGGTCTATATTGGGGTCCCCCTATTTAGGGAAACTACCATGTCGATTGGCTTCCCATAATAGGCACACATGTGCTTGGACAGTATCTTTGCGTTTATAAGGTGGGATCCAGGGGCTTGGCTATCATCACTGCTCTTGGCTTTTCCCGATGATATTCATTGGACCCGCCGACAGAGTTGTGTGTGTTCCGAGTTTCTCAAGTTTCGCACTGTGCATCCCTGCTGTTGTGTCATCACCATCATATCACTGCAGTAGAAGTAGAAGAGGTGAGGGTACCGGTAGTTGTTGCATCGACTTACATGTACGGAGGGGGGGGGAGGAGAATTTTTTGGAGAGAATCACACTTCAAACCTCCAGCAATCTCATGCATGTACTTCGTCTCGAAGCCAAAGCTTCTAGCCAGACCTGCGCGTTGAAAACCACATGCACCGCTCACTTCTCCCAGTCAGAGGTGGGCACAGGCCCATATGAGCTACGCACTAAATTTAGGTTTGGGGGGACCTTTCGGGGACTATATAGGGGGGTATAGGGGGACCTATTTAAGGGATATACTACAAATTTAGTCCAGGGCCCATATCCCAACCGCAACCCCTACGTCAGACACCTTCTCAACTGATCGCTCCCTGACCAAGGACTTGTCTGGGAATAACTTCACAGGCCATCTGGGTGTGGTGGTTGGTTGGGGCTCAGGCATTTGTCTTTCAGATGTACAGCCCAATTTGTTGTCGGGAAGCAACGCTTGGCATAGCGCATCTGCAAATTAGTGACTAGATCGAAAACAGTAGTTTTCCTGAAAAGGAGGGTCCCAAAATAGACCCCAGAAGAAGGTAATCCTTGTTACAGGTACCGGTTAATTTTGGGAACCCCAAATCAAGCCGCCAGTATTTTTTCAGTTTTGGGATTTCCCCGATTGCGTGTTGCAGCAGCAGCATCGAGTGGCGTTCTGTGAAAATGCCTGTTTGAAGGGCTTGTCAAGTCTGTTTTTCTTACTGGGGCTTAGTAGGGAATGAGGGAATATATTTTGCGGGGACTACATGGGATGATATTTTCTTGTTCCCTACTGAGAACCAGTAAGTTTTGCTTGGTCAAATTCAGGGCCCCCATCCCTGAACAGTAACATGGTTAAGGGCTTGGTTTAGGGTCCCTTGATTCCAGCATACTGTATACGTTGAATTCGGCGAGCCAAGCTAGAGCCCACAGCAAGTTTTGAAGAGGTTGTCTTCCGACTTTTTCAGGTAGTATGCCCATTATGTGGTATAGTATAATATATGAGGAGTATTTAATATTGGGGGGGGGGTGGGGGGGGGGTTGATATTAGGGGAGGGGACTATTCTTCAAAAGGGGCCCATAGGGGATTCCGCATTAGTTTGGGTGATTCCTCTGGCAAGCTGGCTTAGAAATCTGGAATTTCAGGGTTATTCCCTAAAAGTCCTACATCCCAAGCTGGCTTTTTGATTTGGATTTTAAGGGATATTTCCTAAAAATCCTACATCCGTATAGCACGTTTCACGCATACCTCGAGGGCATTTCAATTCCTTTCCGCACTTTTGAACGTCTAAACATATAGTGCGCCTTAAGTAGACAGAATATGGAGTATATGGCCCTAAACCCTAAACCCTAGACCGGGGATCTTAATACAATATTACCCAAAGCCATATTTTGTCTACAAAAGGGGGACTGTAGCTTCACTCCCCTGAGCCCGAAAATCTACAACACGTAAGTATAGTAGTTTCCATTTTATCTTTCATTTATCCCCTATATAGCCCCAATATATACCCTAACATCATATAGTAGTTTCCATTATATTTTCCATTATCCATGCCATAAACAAACCGTTGTGAGCCACCCATGGAGGCCTGCCGACCAATGTCTACATCTTCGGTACTGCCATTGCAGCTGTGTCCGCATGGTGCTATCTCCTTTCGGATGTCGGGTTCCCTCCCAAAGATGATTCAGAGGCCCTTAGGCCTTTTTAGGGGGATTCCACGGGCCTGGAGCCACCAAAATCTGAAGTCAATGGAGGTTGACCTAGTACTCGTTTTACGTTTTAAAGAGCGGCAATCTATCTGGCCCCCTTTTGGGGTTCCATATGAGCTGTAGTCTAAACTCCTTATAGGCGATTATATAGGGGACTACTATAGGGGTTATTAAGGGGGATACTAGGAGTTTAGACTATAGCTCATATGATTTTGGGCCACGGTGGCTTCGTGATGAAGCAAAGCGTAGAAGATCCACCTCCAAAGTCCAGTCCGAAGATGCTTGTATGCTTGCACGCCTATTAGTATTATTATTACCATTATTATTACTATTATTATTATTATTAATATTATTTTTATTGTTACTATTATTATTATTAATATTACTATTATTTTTACTATTATTATTTTTACTATTATTATTAATATTACTATTATTATTACTATTATTATTATTACTATTATTATTAATATTACTATTATTATTACTATTATTGTTAGTATTACTATTACTATTATGATTACTTTTACTATTACTATGCTACCAGTGCCCCTCATAAGCTTTTGATAGGGATCCCCATACAGGCTGCGCAATTCCATCTATCCTTACAAGCGCCGTTGGCTTTTTGTGTGACTTTTGAAGCCCCAGATTTTCATTGCGAGACGTTGCATGGGAGCCAGCAGAAAGTCTGGAGTCCGTGCTGTCCTCACACTTGCCTAAGGCAGAGCGAGGAAAGAAACGGTTATTTTTAGGGTTTAGGGATTAGGGTTTAGGGTAGGGATATTTGCGGGGGAACCCTAAACCCTAAATCCTAAATCCTAAACCCTTCCACTCCCCAACTTCCCTTCAAGCACCAGTAAGTCTTGCCCAGGAAGCCGTGACTGGAGAGGTAGACTGGCAAGACACCCTGTGCCTGGGCCAGACTTTAAGTTTGTATCCTTGAGAAATTGTAACCGTAGGTGTTGGGTCCCAGATACCCTAATTAAGGGCCATATTCCATGGTTTAAGGACCCAAACCCAAGGGTACAAACCGTAAAGATACACATGAAAATTCCCTGAATAAGTCTCAAACTGCTCCCGTCCCCAGAAAATAAAGCAGGCAACTCTCCCAATAATGAACATTCCCAAAGAGTATCGTTACTTTAGTGTGAACATCTATGTATATATGCATGTGTATATGTGGGTATATATATATATGTATATGTACATGTATGCATATATATATATATGTATATATATATATATGTGTGTGATGTGTCTGTCGTTGGGGGGTGGAGGGGTTTGCTAGGGGTGCGCATGGGAGATGCCAAGTTTTGCGCAAAACCTTTAAGGTTTACGGAATGCAGGGTTTAGAATTTAGGGATTTAAACCCCAAAGCCATTAACAGCTGGATTATATGTATATTTGAACTATATACATATATATGTGTAGGGACCAGACTGTTAATGTGTTCGGAGCAGGACCCAACCTAAACCCTAAACCCTAAATGGTAGTGTCCATCTTCTTGTCGATTATCCCTACATAACCCCGATATTATCCCAATAATGTCCCAGTTTCCAGTTCATTTCTATTTTCTTTTCCATTTGATTCCCCAATATATACCCCATTTTGGGTACTGCCCCCACTCAGTAACAGTTGGATAATAAATATAATATGGTTATATATAGCCCTTCATAGGACCCCTGATATAGACTGTTACTGGGTGGGGGCAGTACCCAAACCCCATTATAGTAGAGCCTCAATTCCTAGCCTGAAGGTGGATTACTCTGGGCGTGATTATTGTGGTGCTGCTGGTGTTTATTGGTGGTGCCCCTTGGCTGATCTACCCTTAAACACGGGTTATAGGGGGTTAGGGGGATGCAGTATAGGGTTTAGGGTTTACCAAAACTAGGGGTACCATATTGGCTGTTGAGAGATTTGTTAAGTTCAAGGTCTGGTGTAGGCGCTGCTGTCATTGGCGCGTAAATGGCTTCCACAAGTTTAGCAGTCTAATACAATTGCTCGTATTGCCAACACGGCTAGCTCCTGCAGCCAAACCCAGTACTAGGATGTATTCCACTTTCCACTCAGGCCGTTTCTATACATGGCATATGGTTGCTTGTTGTTGAGCAGCTGCGTGCTTCTATAGCTGCGGAGTGACAAGGTGCTGCCAGGCTTTGTAGAAGAAGGTGTTTGCTTTTTGTAGCCATACGCTCGCGCAAGCTCTCAGACGGCAGTTTGCCTTGGAGTCTTTGATGCTGTAGCGGGCAGCTTTCTCCATTGCTGCGTGGTGGACAGCATAAGTCTGGTGTGCTCAGCACTTTGGAAGAATCAGCCACCAATGATGCCCCGGTTGTGACTGAAGAGTTCTAAGTACACTTCTGGAAGCCTAGAAACATTGGTCGATGTAATGTAGACCCATGATTCATAAACCCCTTCCCGTAAAGGGACTTAACATTAGGATTCCTACTATAATCCCTATTAAGGGGAGGGGGTTTTATTAGGGGTCTACCCTAAACCCTAAATAGCAGTTTCCATTTTATTTTCCATTATCCCAATATAGCCCCCATATAACCCTAATATTATCCCAATGCTACATTAGGCTCTCAGGCTGCCACTTTCAGCAGCTCTGCTCACAGGCTGTGGCCTACCTTGTCCTGCAATCCGGGCAGAGGAGCGCCCGGGTCTTCGCCCGGGAAGTCCGCAAAACCACGAAGAAGACCTCACAGGCCACAAGCGGATCTGCACGTGGGACAGAGTTAGTCTGGGTTGCTGTTAAGGAACTTAATGTAGGTTACTATATTGGGTAAACCCTATTATTTACTATATATACCCATTATGGTAACTTGTTTTAAGTTCCTTAACAGCAACCCAGTGGTGGGAAGGTAAAGGCTCCATGCAACTTGGCAATGATCCTTGAGCCTTTGTTCACACTTGGAGCCAAGTTCTTGGGATTTTTGATACATCGCTGCATTTTAAGTCGTCTCAGGGATTGCACATGATCATGATGTGCAAAGTGTAGGTACATACTGCGAGGTTCGACAGCGCAGTGTATTGGGAAATGGTAGCCCGGTCTTTTACCTGCCTGCACCACACCCAAGGGTTTATGGAGGTTGTATGGGGATTATATAGGGGTTATCTAGGGACAATGGAAGAGAAAATGCCTAGGGTTTTTGCAGTTCCGACAGCCTTGAAGCTGTGATGCTCTTGCTTTTCCTTGCAAGAAATGGGTCAGCACTAAACCTTAAACCCCTAAACCCTAAACGGCCCCAAACCCTAAACTCTAGACCCCTAAACCCTAAACTCTAGACCCCTTAAACCCTAAACCCTAAACTCTAGACCCCTTACCCCTTAAACCCCTAATCCCTAAATACTAAACCAGCCCGTGGGCATCCTGGCAAGGACATGTGAACCAGGCAGTCCACCTCACCGTTATTCCCCCTAGTATTAAACCCCCCCATCCCCCTAAAGCTTAATTGATCCCAATATATTATAATGTACCACGTAATGGGAGCATTTAATATTAGGGGGTGGGTGGGGGGGTTTAATATTAGGGGGAAGATTGCAGTCATTGAGCTACAATGGCAGAGCCCTGCCACAACGTATTTTCTTAGTTCAAGAACACACTTGGGGGCTGAAGCCTCATGATGTCTTGAGTAGATTCTACAGCAGTCTAGGTCACTTCTTCTGACATGCCTTCCGCTGCATCATTTGGACGTCTAAGCTGTAGCCACCCCCATACCCTAACTCAACTCACAAGCCCTACACTCCAAGTTGCGAACCTTGAGTCGTGGAGGTTGCCCCAATCTTCGTCGAAGACGTTGACGACGGCTTCTACCATCAACAGCCACTCCATCAGAGATTTTTCTTCTTTTCTGGGAGTGTGCCCACGTCAGAGCCTTCTCATTCCCGGAAGTGTAGCATCCTTCGTATTAGGGACTGGTACTGCAGGCAATGATTCTGGCAGATTGCTTGGTGTCATTGTGACTGCCAGAGGGCAACGGCGCCCTCACTGTGCAACCGAACACTCGCCCCTGGCGAATTCATGTTTCTGTGCAAGAGTACGTTTTTATATCGACTCTTATATAGGGCATCCGTAGCCTCTCCTGGTACCCTTTACATATCCCAAGCGCAGCCTCCCTCTGTCTTGTGGACGCACGCATTTTGCAAAACTCCCCTATGAGCCATCATATGGGCTATAGACCAAACTCCTTACAAGAGGATTATATAGGGCATTATAGGGGTTATGCAGGGGGATACGAGCGGTTTAGACCATGGCCCATATCAACTCCATTGGCTTTGTATTCCAGATGTAATCTATTCCTTTATTCCCTACTATAACTCTAATATATAACCTGGTATAATGTAGTAGCTTCCATTTTCTCTTCCAGTATGCTCAATATATACCCTAATATCAGATAGCAATTTCCATTTCATTTTCCATCATCCCTACATAACCCCAAGATATATCTAAATGACTGCGGTGTAAGCTCAGGGCGCCGGTGACGACCGGCAAAGCTGGCGACGTCACTAGCGGCGCAGGAGACTGCAGGGCTCTACCTACTGTAGGGTTTACAGTAAGGTTTAGGGTTTAGGGTTTAGGGTGCTGAGAATGCATTTCTGAAGTATGTGGGGGTTTCCTAAAATAAGTGGTACTTCATGGTGGTCCCAGGCCCCCCATGATAACGACTATGTTATATTCAGGTCTATATTGAGGTCCCTCCCATGTAGGGAAACTACCA